TCCTAGCATCTTATACGGACACACAAAGAACCCTTCAGCAGGACGGCACTAGGCCACAGTTATTCATGCAGCAAATCGGAGAGAACAGATCAAATCAACAACAGAATTTTTTTTTTTCTCCAACAACTCAACTGAAACTGCTCTGTTGCCAAGCAACCCAAACATTCTCCTGAACTCGACGTTGTTTGTCTCCATGGTTACCTCAGAACAATTACTTAATTTAATCTACATTTAGGGCCTGTGTCAATTGACAGCACCTTTTGCGGCCACAGTTTCAAAGCACTTTTTTACCGGCGCTCATTGTTGCTAGGTTACAAATGTATCACCTGCAAATTGTACCGTTATCTTTTCTCCTTCACCATTGTGGCTGACATGGCTGATAGTGTCTGGCCCCTTCTTGATTTTGATTGGTAAGTGAGGGAAAAGTGACATTGACCAGCAGGTGGTGTTCCAAAAATTGAAATGTTTTCCGGCAGTGACAAGCTCAGGACGCTGAGCTCTAAAAAGTGCTGAACTTCATTGGTGCTGTATTCAAAATGGGCGCCTCCAGAACTCTTTGCAGAGGTGGAGTGATACAATGAGTGAAAAGTCTCAGTGATGTTGTATATCAGGACTCACGGTACACCTCTTGTCCAATCTGATAACTCAATGAATACTAAATGTATTTCAATCAATTCCTCTTATTTCTGCACAAGGCATCTCCCATCTTGCTTTTGCTGTGGCAAACAAGATGTACAAGTTTCCATGTTGTTGTTTTTTTTTTTAGAGCCTTTTTTTATTTTGGTCATGAAAGGGATAAAGTATGAACAGCTGGTAGTACCTGCCTGTCTCTGTAACCAAGGAAACAATCAATGGAATACATTTATGCTGAAACACAACAACAACGAGGCACGAGTACCTTTTTTATGATGAACTGCTGATGTTATACAGCTTTTTATCCTAACTGGATTTAGGAGAGTTGTTGCCTTAGTTATCAGTGTAAAGAGGTTTGTTTTTTCCTCTAAGTGTATCTAAGAAACGTGACAAACATGCTGATTTGTGGGATACAGAGGTCGTGTTGTGACACTAGACAGAACATTGGGTTGCAGTTAAATAGTTTTGTGATTATTTCAGCGTTGACTTTAGTCTGGGCATGAGCTAAACTTATCCCAGCAGAACTGAAAGCGTGGAGTGACATTACACGTGTGCTCGCTCTGACAGCAGGAGTTCAAGCAACACATTTGAAATGTTGCAGACACACCTTCACCTCCATGTTTAATCAGCAGTGAGTGGTGCGTTTAGGGACGGTCTGAATGTTGGTGCTGTTTGGGAGTGATGTATGGTTCTCAGTGTAATCCGGCTCGTCCTTGTCTGACTCCTCCGGCTCTTTTAGGATTCCAGTTGCAGTCAGACAGGATGGACATGAATAATTCAGAGGTGAGCGGCTCAGAGGTGCTGCTGCTCCTGCTACGCCGCTACTTCTTCTGCTTGTGAGTCTTCACCTGGAAGCAATTACGGAGCGCTCAGGCTCCACAGTGGGAAAGAAATGAAGTGTCCCCGCTCGTCCTGGGAGCTTTATGTTTTTAATCAGAGTCTCAGAGCCTTCAGGAGGACATGTCTGCACTCCATGAGATGCCGACTGTACAGGAGGGGAGGAGCGACTGTCAAATGCAAGTGTAATTTAGATCAGGATGGAAATAACACCAACATGCATGACTTATTCAGGAGAGAAAATCAAGTATGTCTTTATTTTTGGTAGTGACAGAAAAAACGTGCAGCCCTTACAAGCCACCAAAATGTTTTGTACAGTTTGGAAACACAAATTCGGAGATAGACCTTGTTGATGTGTTTGGGTCTGCATTTGGGATTTGTTGGAAAAAGAAAAAAAATACAGATCACCAGTTCTACTTTTTGAAAGAGAGCGATCCTTCAGTGTGCCCAGACAGATACATGTCAAATACTCATATGGGATATTTGTTGCTTGTCTTTGAAACAAGGAAAATTTGTCAACACAAATTGCAGTGTCTTTATGAAGTTCTACTTAAACATTTTCCTCAAATCAAATTAAATATAATACATTGTTGTTCCGTTTGGCTCTCATTTCAGGCTCAGACTTTGTCTTTTATTCTATACCAAAATATAGATATTTTCACTAGACATCATGCTGCACATTCCCCCTTTACTTTTGACGATCTATTTTATGTTATTTACACGCCCTGACAGCAGGAGCCAGACGTACAATGCTCACTAGCTTTCTACTTTTATCTAAGAAATAAACTTTATTCTGATTATTGCTATGCAAAAGGGCAATTCAGACCATTATGGGTCTAATGAACAAATAATCATCTGTAGAACCACAAGGTTTTATCCTGGGCCCACTGTCTTTTAGTCTGTAAGCACAATACTGACTTTTCTCGATATGCAGATGACACTCAACTCTATATCACTGCTGAAAAAACTATTCCTGTCTCTTTAATGACGGCCCAAGAGCCGAAAAGAGGGTTTCTCAGGCAACCCTATAACTGTAGTGTTTTGTATTGACTGTGAGTGTCCCTGTATGTCTGCAGCTCACATATACATTTTAAGGAGTTACCATAGGTCAAGTGTCTGATCTCGGAAGGGCAAAAAGTTCTTGTCGGCTGTATGGACCCTGTATGGACCCGCCCACGACATTAATCACAAACAAAAGGTTAACCAGTTTAAGAAAGGGACGGGAGGGGGGTTGTTACATTTTGAAATAGGCAGCTATAAACAAAATGTGTATTTTTGTCTTAATAAGAAAGGCTGAGTATTCTGGTGTAAAACAGAACTATGTTATCATTGCTTAAATTTAGGATGTATTAAATTTGTGCTAACTGTCGTGGTCCCCTCATGCAGCGGGGCCCCGAGAAGCTTCCCCCTTGTTCCCCCCTTATGGGTGGCCTTGTACAAAAGTTGAGTGTTTAGCAGCAAAAATGAAAGTGTACTGTTGAATTTTAGAGTTCAGTTTCTACTAAAAATAATTACAAAATAAGAGCAAAGAAAGTGAGACCAAACAGTTGCGGGCCGTCTGGTGTAACATGAATAGAAACTAATGAGTAAACAGTTTTAAGCTCATTATTCTCTGCAGTCAAAGCTGATGATTATGTGAAAAACATCTGTAGTTTGTGTTGTTCTTGCTGAACGGTTAGCTCAGCAGCGTATTGTTGACCTAGAAACCAGCAAAGGAAATCCAATTCTTTAATCTCAGACGGTTCAGATTATACTGCTAACTTTTTAAAGAGACTCAATAGCTGACTTTAAGCTCTGCAGACTGAACATGTATGATTTTCCTCTGTTATGCCGTCTGTAGTCGATGTTTTATCTCCTGGTTTCCTCTGCTTGTTCCCTCCTCCCTCTGTGTCTCACACATGCAGAGTTGTGTTGTTATATAAATTCCCATTCTGTCAGCCACTCTGTATTCACTTTGAGTTCCAGCTCAGCTGCTTTAATTGGATGAAGGACTGTGTGATTTTTTTTTTTTTTAATTCTGCAGTCTGTGTGATGCTCCTTTACTCTCATGAAGGCCGGCCGAGTTGCTCGGGTCGAGACACTCGCCGACACCAGCTGGAAGGAAAACATGATGCAGAGGAGAAACGGAGCAGCAGGAGAGGGTTTTTAATTAACAAGGCCCAACCGGTAGCCTTATTTTGATACCCTTTTTGTACGTAGGATTTTTCTAAATTCCATTTATAGTAGTCGATTTGAAGTTACTTAATAAACTGAAGCACTGTACAAACATTCATTCACTTGATCTGAGGCGCATAAACAGCGTTGTGGAGTCATTATCTAAGAAGTTATCTTTCATTGTGTTGCTGTTATTTTGCAGCGTAGCTTTGTTCTGATGTTCATATTTTTTACCTGTAGATAAGCAAAAGGTCTTTGGGTTGACTACAGAGGTTCTGCTTGTCGACATGCAAGGCAGGCATCTGTTTGGGGCCCCAGACCAGTAGTGGGGGGCCTGAGGGCTCACAAACCAAAGCAGTGTGCAGATTTTCCAACAACAGTAGGAAACCTCACTAAGGGTGCACCATTGGCCAGCACTCCAACCAAAGTTCATCAATGAAAGTCAAGAGAAAAGAGAAACGATCCGTCGCATAGTAGAGAAAAAAGATAATGGAATTAAGGGGAAGAGGAGTAATCGTTGGGACACTGGCAGACATGATGGTGATGAACGCTGGCAGGAGGGCCTCCGCCTCTTCTTTTGATTTTTCCACTAAAAGACCAAGGGCTGACAATGCCAGCGCCATTTTCAACTTTTTAGCAGACATTATTCTCCATTAGTAGGCTACCTATAATACCAGAGGTGAGCGACAGCGGTGTGAAAATGGTCTTCTCGTATAACAACGGACTACCGCCGCCTGCTGGCATGGAGAGGTATTTCCTCTCACGCATGTGCAGAGAGTACAGTATGTGGTGGTTGGCCGTCGGCCGTAGTCTTTGCGGTGTGTTCAGGTGCAGGGATGGGCAACTTTGGTCACAGCAAGGGCAACATTCATTTAATTCTCACTGCCAGAGGGCAAAATTGTAGTCTCAAATGTCTCAAATTTATCTCAACATATACCAGTGATAAAATATTATTATGGACATATTTCTGGTTTTCATGATTTCATGGCAGATTTTGTCATGTTTTCTTCATGTTTCCAATTAATTGATATGTCTGTTGGCCTGAGGGCCACATAGAGGGTTGATGGCCGCCAGTTGCCCACCCCTGTTCTAGTGCAACTTTTTGGTCAAGACGCGAGGCGGCCTTTGTCGCCACTAGCTCTTTGCCGTCTGCTTGGTGTGTCAGGGCCTTAACTTTAAAGTGAGTTACTTTCGTTGTCTTGAAGGTGTTTTCGTTTCTATGAAGTTATGTTTTTTTAAGTAACCTGAAAAATCTCATGCATGTCGTAATCAAGCTCTGAAGTAGCTGAATGTCTTCCTCGTGTTGGTCTCTACTCTGACGCTCTGATAGTCTATGACAGATTCTCTCCTGACGCTGCTTTATTTCCGTCCTTCAGGTCTCCTGACAGCGGCGGCAGGAACAGACGCTCCCCAGAGACAGACTGGGTCCCATCGTCCATCGCCCATCATCGCCAAGCGGAGCATCCTCTGCCGCAGCATCAGCCGCTATCAGAGCCGCGGGGCGAGACGACGACACTCAATGCTTCACGCATGGCGGGTGACCCGAGGAGGCTGCAGCCTGAAGACACAGAAGAAGAAAGTGACTCCTTTTATTTTCCTGGAGGTCTGAAAGGCAGATCATGACAAGCTGCTGGAATCGATCGCTTTTGTTGGCACAAACTCTGTTTCGTTTTTACAGACCAAAGATGAACAGAGCCGACAAAGAGACGTTTTTTTTTAAGAGGGGCAGAGACTTTCAGAAGCCCCCTCTCTTAACTCCGTAAAGAAACATGTAAAGAAACAAACACATTGTGATATAATACAGTAAGTGACTTAAATGAGCAACATAAAAATGTATATGCGTTAAAGATAACACATGTATCTGTCCGAGGAGAGACAGCGCTGTTGATGTTTCTGTTGGGACGGAGAAGCCGTTCATGTGCTGGGTGTCAGTCGAGTGGAGAAGGGGAGAAATCATTTCAGACATTTTTACGATGGAACATAAAACTTTGTGCACCTTCAGAGACACCAGAAGGTGTGATTTAGAGACAAGAGGCAGGACAACCAGGCCATGAAAACATCTAACATGGCATCTAGAAGACTTCAGTAGTTAAAACAGTTATAGATGAATAAAAAATACAGACAGTAAATAAAAGAGAGACAATAAAATGTGCCATAAAACTGTTTTTCCAACCTCATTTTGAAGATATTTTATGGATTCAAATATCACTCAGTTTCTCATAATTGTGTAAAAATGATTTAATACCAAAAAGCTGATCGCCAAAAAGCCGGTAAACTGGACTGTCACCCCCAATTTCCACAAACATAGACAGTCAGCGCCGCAGTTCGCTGCCACTCTAGTCAATGATTGAGTTTCCACAGCGAACGCAGCGGTCCGTCTCTTGGAGCGTGCCACCAGCTCCACTACGCTCTGCTCCGTTTCAAATACGCTGCGGGTCTATTTTGGACAGAGCACGCTGCAGGCACGCGTCAAACTGGATGGAATATGACATTCCGGACAGGAAGTCAGATAAGGAAACGCACAGAGATTCCAGTCAATTTCCAAATAAAACACAATAACCGGACTCACGATCATATTTGCTCCGCTACGCTCACGTTCCAGAAACGAATCCAGTGGGGCAGGGCACACGGTGTCTGACGCATGGAGTATGTGTTGATTTGGGGTCATAGTGGAACATCCTGATTAAATTTATCAACGTACAATTAACAGATTTAAGATGCCTGAAGTTTTGCGAGCAGCACAGCTTTAGGAATGGGAATCCGTCAGTCTGTTCGGCACTTTGCTCCTGATTGAAGTGTCTTAAAAACGCCTAAATGGATTGGCATGAAATTTGGTGATCACAGATGTTCATGTTGCCAGGAGAATTTATTTTACTGACTTTGGTGATCCACAGACTTTTCCTGTTTCGCTACCATGAGATGGAATCGATGGTGTTTGGTGGAATGTCTCAACAAATAGTGAATCAACTTCGATAATGTTAGATTTTCATTGATGATTTTTCATTGATATGATATAATGTCAGTGGTGTGACTTATCTTTTCCTTTTACACCTTGTTGCCATAGCAACATATCTTAGTTAATTTTGCATTTCCAAAGGCTGCAACCAATGGGCACTTACCCAAATTCCTGGATGCTACACCTATTAAAGCAACCAAATATGCAAGTATGCTATAAGCTCAGTAGCTAGCTCCAACATCCAATTTTGAACATAACGGTATCTACCATCTTATTAGTAAACTACTAGTGGGATTGAGATAGACTGAATGTTCCACATCGGCTGCAACCATCTCATCTCATTCAAACCATAGAAATCTGTGGAAATATGAGTGAAAAAGATGCATCTGCAAAGAAACAACAAAATTACCAGCTAGCACATTTCTGGTCCCCCAGGCCCTCTAGCACCATCAATATTTTAACTTGTCCAATACTTTTGTTCATGATAATTACCATCAATAAGTATAGCATTCATAGAAGTGTTGGCTGTACTTTGTATTTTAAACATATTGGTAAATATTAGCATTCTAAAATGTAAGTTGGTGAACAAGGTCAACCGTACGCCTAGCATCGACGTTAGCATAGTGAGCATGTTAGCATGCTGATTTGGCTTATATTATGCCTACATGCAGCATTTGTCAGCTGTTAGCATGACTGTAGATTCTGGGTGGGGACTTCATGAAGAATTGATTGCACCAGGTTGCTGATCCTGCACCCTGATTGTGCAAATTTGCAACAGATTTCTGCCTGCTGCAAAGTCCAATTCACTCACAACATGCTGATGAGATTTTCCAGGTGAATGAATCTGCTCACACAAGTCAACTCAATTATCCATGAGGCACGACGATCCCTTAGCCGACAATCATAGCTGCCTGACTGCAAGACAACATGGTTGTTCCCACCCACCCCCACCCCCGATTAAATGTGCTATGTATTCCAACTCTCTAAAAACTACATATTTGTGCTGGGTTTTTAAAATTGGACTGATTTTAAACTAAATTTCTGCACAGTCATCAAATTTCAATGTGTGCCCACCCAGGAGCCCTTAGATGCAGTTGGCTTGTCAGTTTTTTTGTCATTTGTTCAGGTTTTGCTAAAGAAGCTTATAATCTTCTAGTAAATTTGTACCTTTTTCATGTTGGTGATGCAGTTAATTCTGTCAACTCTGATGAGCTGATGTAAAAAACTCAACCTCAAAGGTCACAGTTGACATTTCAACTGACGTTACATTCAACTTTAAATACTCTCCAAGATGTTCGATACCCGTGCACAAAGTTGTTCTTATTTTTTTCATAAAATCTGAAAAATTCTAGATGATTTCTGTCTCTTCTCCTTCAGACGACATCACGCATTAAATCCGATTTTACATTTCCCAGTGCCATATTTGAACTTCATGCACTCAGAACAGATGGTTTGAATGAAACAAAAAAAGAGCAAACTATTTCACACTAGAATCTAAGTAAGTTTGGGGTCAAAGAAGCATTAAATGTATTTTCAAAAATCATAAAGTTCTATATTTAAATATTTTATATGTTGTATCTTTGTAGAAAATCTTATTTAACATCCCGTTGCTCACCATGAACTGGATCGACAGCCGGCTCCACCAGTTTGCAAAGCTCCCTCCTGACAGTGGTACTGTTTCTCTGGCGTTGGGGTTTTCTCCAGTACAGGTTATGTACACCAAATCCCAGAATGCAGTTTGTCTGTAGGTCATTTGCCTTATTCATCTCTGTCTCCATGAACCTGAGGAGAAAAAGTCACTCTGTTTCGATGCTCTGTCGGTATGAACATTATTTTTCATTAAACAGAAAACACAAAATCGTCTGTCTCTAGCTCAAAGATTTTCTTCTGATTCAAGTTTTAAACGCGAAAGGTGGACGACAAGAGGAGACAAAAACGCCCACAGCTGTTTTCTCAGAATCACCACACATGGACAGTCAGACAACTCATCTTTGTAATGGGTCTGACCTCATCACTCCTCGCATAATTAGTTTCCATTCAGATTTGAGGAGTGATGAGATGATATCTTAAACCCTCCAGTCAGAGCCTGTAGGTGGATGCTGGGCTGCAGGTGGGGCTGAAAGTTTTAGCGTGGCATGGTATGAGACAGCAATGGTAATGACAGAAAGCAGGGGATATAAGACCTTACATTACACCTCCAAACTGGGAGGATAAGTGATTGTGAGAATGATGCATGGCCAATTTTTATTCAATAAGTAGAGACAAGTGAAGAAAGAAAATGATTTATTATAATAGATAACATAGAAATGTGACTTGACAGAAGGTCTTTGGTGCTTGGACTCTATGGAGTGGTTTATGTGTTTGGAGAAAATCAAAAAACAGAACAAATCCCCCCCATGTGGTCCAGACCACTACTGGTGGTGGTGAATGTAGACGGGTGCACGAAACATCAGCATCAGAACAAGGCAGAGAAAGAATCGTATTTAAAAGATGAGCAAGAATGATGGTAGGCTGACAGTGAAGGAGGAACGCCATGCGATTGGTTGGATGAGGCCAGCTGATTATCCAGCGACAGCCCCAGAAAACGGCTGCCCGAAAGACTGACAGCGGAAATGTGAGTGAGGGATGAATGAGAGATAGACCGGACTGTGAAGGCAAATACTGTAAATGGTCCTCCTGACTGAACTCACCCTAAAGCTTCATATCAGTGCAGCTCGAGATTTCTGCCTGAGCGAGCTTTTATTTTATGTTCATGAAGAGAACGGAGTCACAGTTTCATAATGCCATTTACCTTTAATAAGCAACATCTATTATCTGTTCAGACTTTATTTTGCATCCAATTTACACCTTTAAATAATGAAATAAAATGGAGAAGTTCCATTTGAAGGCAGCATTAAAGAAGGTATTTTCTTGGCTCTTTGTTGCAATAACTGCATAAAACCTCTGAACGACTCCTGATATTTTCAGGAGAACCTTCATTTGTGAACACAAACAGCCAAGTTTTTAACTCAGACATTTCTCCTGCCAGACCCCTAGTATTTCTTCTGCAGCATGAGCTGACGTGAGAAAGCAGCAGAATATTATCTGGAGAATTCACCCCTAGCCAATAGGAGGAGGTGGTGATGTTTGTTCCCTGTGACCAGTGACCAGTGCACGGTGCATAGAGGGTCTGCATGCGACTGATTCCATCTCGGTGCTCGTTATTAATCGGCTGCATTATTATTTCTGTTCGTCTGTATGTTCTTCTCCGCTATTTTGTTGATATTGTTGTTCAGTCAAGCTACACGAAGCATCGATATAAAGGCAAAAATTCTCATTATAGCATCATGTAGCGGACTCTGTTGCTTGCTCAGCCACTTCCATGTTGTTTTATTACATCACAAAATGCCTCAAGAGACCCCCCCGCCCCCCCCCCTGCTCCGGTCTGACAGCGGTAGTCTCCTGCTGTGTGGAGCATATGTGGACAACCAGATCCTGAGGTTTTCAGGAGCAGTCGTCCTGGAACTCTTTAGATATTTACAGGAGTGCAAATGTGAAAACAGCTTTCAATATTTCATCTACATATTTTTGATGCTAATCAACATTGTTAGAGTGCAATGGTGGATTTGGACTTCCAGTGAATGAGCACAAGCGTCCATTAAGATGAGAAAAGCTGAGGGAATATACTGTAAGGCTTTTTTTAGGCAGTGAGTTGAAAAATCAGTCTGTCCTGAAAAGAGCTGAAGAGTCGGTACAAGTTGGAGCAGTGAAAGGAGTTGAAAAAAGTCTCAGATCAAAAGAGCTGGATTTGCGCTGGACTGTAAGTATCTGCTGAGTAAAGTCGAGGTGTAAGTTTAGAGCTTAAAAAAAAAAAAACACATGAAGTGAAAGTGCTGAATCGAAATGATGAAAGTCGAAGGCCGATCTTCTGTGGTGATGTTAGAGAAACTCAGCATAAAAGACAGACGGAGCCGGATGTGTCAGATCAAATGTAAGTCCTTTCAGTGTGAGCTGAGGCAGACTGAAAGTAGTTTAAGAACCACATCAAGTCTGAGTGCTGTGAGGAGTTTGAAATATTAACTCGGTTAGCAAGCACTAAAAAAAGAGGCGAAGAAGGAGTGCTGACAGAGGCTGAGCTTAAATACTTTTTATTTTAGGAGAGGAGATATGTTTCCACAAACAGTGTTCGAAGTGGGTTTTTTTAAACGAAGAAGAGATTGAAAAACGTTT